GAAAAAGGTTTGGTATGGATACTTTTCTGGGCTAGCTGGCACTTGAGGGCATTTGAATTGCATTGATGGAATTTTATTAATGTCGCTTTGAAATTCCTGGCAGACTTTGCGATTTGGCCGTACAGCAAACATTGGAAAAAAGTAATGAAGCACCGTAATGATATTCTTATTTGAAAGATACACTGTTGTATTGGCTAAATTAGGACATCTATGGGGCACAAACACCATTCGTGAACTGGTATAATTAAAATAAACGAACAAATATTTTAGTTTTTGATTAGGTATCTAAACTAGAGTTATGTTTACATCACATGTGGTATATTTTTATTAATAACTTTTTGTCATTTATCTGCACTTCTTTATTTTCGGTGTTTCTGGTAGAACTTGTAAAAGAAATCAATGCTTTATTGCAAGTGATTAATTTAGTCATTTATTTTTTGGTCCGTCTTATAAATAGCTTTATTTTCTGTTCGACAGTGTCGGCTCGTGTGTAGAGCATTTAATTTTTAAATTATATTAAACGTAAACGCAACCAATTGGCGACCGCATCGTGCCTTTGGCTAATTTCCTTTACACAAGCATGCATTATTTATATTACGGAGACAAGGATTGTAGATAATATTACGTAGTTAGTACTTATCGTGTTTGTCGATAACGTTCAAAAAAGCTCGATCGACATTTTTTCGTTAATATACTTAGCGGTTTCAACTGTATAGTAAATGTAGAAAGAACGTAGGCCTAAGTGGTATATTTCTTCAATACATGCTACCGAATGTACTACGACTAGGTATACATGTTTTTGCCTTTAAAAAAAATTGCTGATAGTGTGTTATGCGCCTAATTTTGCTAAGTGCGCAGTATTGTACAATTATACGGATATTGAATGATTTTTTGAATACTCACTCATTGTTTGTGCACGTCGTCACTGTAAATTAATCGGTTCGATCGCCGTCTATTTTTTTAGTTCGAACTTGTGTAGAGCACGTCAAGCTTGGCACTTTTGACTTTGAACCGTTGTTGGTAAATGTCGAGCTGGATGGGCTCTTAACTGTACACGCGAATAAACTATTTTGATGACACGTACGGCCTTTGATAATTTTTCTGTCAAATAAATATCTTATTGCTTTCCCATAGCCTTTTTAAGTTACTTACCACTTTAACTTTTTAATAAAAATTTGTACAACTAAAAATTGTATGTTTGCCGCATCGAGTACATAACCAGAAATAGAGACGAAATGTCATTTAATTTGTTTGAAAACTATTCTGCCACATCATTACTGTGACAACTGCGCTCCGATTTGCTAGCCAGAGTTCGAAACAAATGACGGGTGTCGTCAATGGGTGTCGTCAACTGTTTCACTTCAAATCGACCAGTTAACTTGAGCTTTGCTATAATGGACGAAAATTGCAAAATTACATATTTAATATTTAATTACCGATGAAATGTGATTCCGTTTGTTTTGTAATTAGATGTTTTGCTGTTTTTTCCACGCCACCGAATAGCACAGCACGGCGTTGTTAGTGATATTATCTTTATTACAATAAATACAGAATATTTTTCGGAATATACGGAGACGTACACACAGGTCAGTAGTTGGCCTGTCTATATTTCAGTGCAAACGGGAGTCGATATTTACAAGAGCTGTATCGCTAATGTGTTACCAGGAATATGTGGCCCTTATTTCGTCTTTATTTCTGGTTATATACTCGATGACTTGCCGTAAGCCTTTTCTATGTGCAATCTTCTCAGGGTAAAGATTCTTCGTGTAAATTGTAAATACTGTCGTACATTGTATTGTAAAACACCACTTGATGGCGGGTAATATACAGTTTATTATGAATTTGTGTAGTCAATTTTTATTGAATAAATTATGTAGTGTTGACATTTTCTACATAAAGGGTCATTGTCACGAAGAACCTTTAAAATTTGTTCGGGATTTTTATTTTATGGATCTGTAAATGAGTGTACAACAGCCTCCGTAGCATGGCTACGCATGATAGCCGCGACTCGCGCGATAAAATTGAAATAACCGCGCCCTATTGGCTGTCTCATTCAGGTCTAATTTAGATAGCCAATAGCGCGCGCTTATTTCAATTTTCTCGCGCGTGTCGCGACTATCATACGTAGCCATGCTAGGGGGTCGAAGTTATGAGTCGTTAATGTTCAGTGTCTGTATAGTCTGAGAGCGCGTTCCCACTAAGTCGTCACGTTTTATTATCGTTAGACGACTGTCGTGTCTAGCCTGTTCCCATGTCACGACTATCTGTTTTGGACGATTTTTTATCGTTGAACGACTGTCGTGACTGGCGGTTTCCATTAGATCGTGACGACAATTTATCGTTTCACGACAGCCTCCTTGTCGTTTGCACGACAGAATGGTTTGATGCACTGCAGTCGCTTGTATGCTCTTTTGGAAGTCGTTAGTGTGTGTTCGCTCGAAATGGATGAAGACGAAATTTTAATAATGTATTACTTTTTAAAAATGTGGAAGAGGAAGCAAACAAAGAAAAGACAGTTTTGGGTACATCCAATGCTACTAAAAAGAATTCCATTAGGGTTATGTCAAACGGTATACAAAGTTGCTTTCTTTTCGGTATTGTCAAAACCTGCTACGACCAGAGATGGGCAGTGGGTTAAAACCCAATCAATAAGTGTTTTCACCAGGGTTATACCCGAATCGTTGAGTTATAACCCATTTCTGCCCTAAATCGTGGGCAGAAACGACAAACCTCAATTCATAACAAATATTTAGACGTTAATAGATAATGCCCTCGAATTCAGGTTTTAACCCGATTTGAATCCGGCGTTAACAAAGCGCCGGGTTAAAGCCCGGGCGCTTGCCCATCTCTGGCTACGACCCGACGCTACTGCAAAGCGAACAAAGGGCGCGGGGTACAAGAGGGGAGGGCAGGGAGCAGAATACGTGCGGACAGCGATAAATAAAACGTGACGACAATAGGAGCTGCGACAATCTGTCGTCACTTTTTTATCGTGACTTTTTTATCGTCGGACGACTGTCGTTCTAGCTGTTCCCACTGTGATGACAGTTTGTCGTTGTAACGATAAGAAATCGTGATCGACAGTTAATCGTGACGTGCTATATGTGAACAACATCATTTAAATATACAAGTCACGACACTGTAAACTGTACGACAATCTGTCGTCATGACATAGTGGGAACGCGCCCTGAAGTTTAATTGTATATACTATATGAAAATTATTATTGACCGTGTGTTGTAATAACTATAACGGAACACGCACATCAGCACAATTGCAGCACATGAATTGCTTTTCAACCGACTTCAAAAATGGAGGAGATTCTCAAGGCGTCTGTACTTTTTTTAGTGTGTTCTACCCGATTACTTCGACATTTGTGAACTTGTGTTTAATATATTATTGTATTAAAGATTTTTAAAAAAAGTACCTATTATTAGTATACATATATATATATAGGTCAATTAACCTATTACTAATAATGGGTAAAAAAAATATAAAATCTTTTATACAATAATATATGCAGGTTTTTCACGCTCGTATAAAATTACTTGAACTGACTTAAGCGTTGTTTGCTAAGCGACGATATTTGTTTTATTTTTATGTATATGTGTTTTGCTAAGTAACGAATAAGCACAATTTTTGAGGTCGGTTATTACTTATTTTTTAATTTTTTTTTGTAAAATTATTATGTTATTTACAGTTGTTTTTAAAGTCTCACAACGTTAGCAGATGTTAATTTGTATATGATTTTATGATTTAAATGTTTTTCGTGATATGTGCATAGGTAGGCTTTTATTATTTGGTAATGTCGTTGAACAAATTATTCATACTCATAATTGGTTTATACCTAGTCAAATTAAGGACACCTCGTAAATTCATTTTTGTGTATTAAAATATCGGAGCATGTTTATGTGAATGGATACCTTCTTGATAATAACTAATGGTCAGTTTCCCTAGAAAGAGTTGTTTTCCATAATGTCATAGTTACACATTCCTAATAGCCGTAAGCTCTTCGAAACATATATGTGACAATATGTCGATAAATAGGAATTGTAAATTTCTGTGCACGCTATATACGTGTAAAATATGTCGCTGACTTTAGACAACTCGTGTATTGTAAGAAGTTAAACGCTCACTGTTCGTAAAATAAATATACAGTGTTAGTTATAAAATACAACCTCGCACAATTAAAATATTGAAAATAAATAAAGGACAAATATAAATAAAACAGAAATAATACAAAAAACAGCGTAAATACATTTAAACAACAAGCTTCATAATACTGTACTGACATGTGTGTGCCGACTAGGCTGTGACGCTGGTTTTCAATGGGCCCTAGCAATTTATTGTGTTGTAATCCTGCGAGGTTGTTATTATTTTACAAATAACCCTGTATATATATTGACATATGTAGCGAAAATTTCTTTTCAGCAAATTGAATTTCTTTTTGAATTATATTTCTTTACACTCGTTAGTGGACTGAATCTTTATAATTAAGAAACTTAGCAACTAACGAATTACGTTCTTGTTTATTTATGCAATCCTTCCACTTTTCGTACATATGAAACTTTAAGATAGTTTGTTGCTTTTTGTGATGTATTATTAGGTCTATATAAGGAATATCTATTATGTACAGATCAATAAACACATTGTATTTCGGGAATATTATAATAGATTAAAATATTTATCAATGTAGTAACTGGAGTAGTTGAATCACAATTCGTGATTCCTTTGTTTTAAATGACACTTCTATCATGGAATGTAATATATAAATTTTCGAAAGGATTTTATTTTCATTAAAAATGAAATATGGAATTATCGATTGTTGTTTCATTCATGTTCCTGTAATCTGATGAATCACTTGTGCGGTGCATTTGAATGGGTATTTAACTATTACGGACCCGATCGGCTTAGCACAATAAACACGCGAAGGGAAAGTAGGTATTGTATTGCGGAACTGGGTGCATGCGCGCGCGCGGCGGCGGCGCAGCGTCACACCGCGGCGGCTCTCGCGTGTGCGCTTGGCCCCAAGGTGACCGATTGCGGCCCACTACTGCCTATACACCGTACCAGTTTCGTCGATTGCGCTCCTAGCTGTCACATTCCTTTACGTAACCTGTCCCATCGAGACATAACGCGTTGCTCTTCAAGCTGTCACTGTACGTGTAATGTTTCAGTTTAGTTCAATTTTACGTTTTTGAAGTGTGAAGTGATAAAGTTTATAAGTTTATTTGGTGTTCCAGATGCAGCTTGTATTGTTTGCTGTTTGTTTATTGGCGGCGTTAGCGCCATCTGCGTGCCGTCCATACGACCCCGAGGACGATGATCTGAAGAACGTGTTGCCATCTAGCGGCAAGTTCGAGGCGTTTTATCCGCGCGAGGCGCACGGCATTCCGAACGGGTCCTCGCGGCCTGCGCACGGGCATGGCAGTTTCTACAAGCACCGCAATCCGGCGCTAGTGGACGTGAAGAACGCAGCCGCGTACGGCTTCCGGTTTGACGGCATGAGAAGGTTCAACTTCGATGATGAGTAGAATTTATAGCCTTTGTAGCAAATTATAAGCGCTTAGTAATTTTTTTTGCGTTACTTACGGTGTTTTGATCCACGATGTTGATATTTGTTTTCCTTAATTATTGATTATGGGCTTAGAGTATGTAGGTAAGATTGTGTTTATAGACAATATTCAAGCCTGGATATTTTTGCAAATAGGTTAAGTATTCATCTAATGCTTTTATGTCTGTAGCCGCGTATAAACTGTTAAAGACATTCGAAATTTTATTATTATGCTATACCCGTGTTAGCCCAAAAGGCAACAGCTTTATTACACCACTAAAGCTGTCATCCATGACTGCCGTCATGACAAAACACTATAAATTACGTATAGTTTCTATTTCCTCTTCTGAGCCGTAACGTTGCACGCACCGAATGAGAATTAATTAGAGAGATTTCTATCGTGCAATTTACCTTCCCTTGTAAATATCAAAATTATCATGTTCTATCCCGTATATTAGGGCAAGGACATGACATAAGTTATATTATGATTATATGTATAACTAAACCGCATTAAGAATACTATCCGCACCTGAGAAGTATTACACTGTAAGCGCCATTTTTGTAATTTTAAGGGGGAAGCGATTTTGTATCGAAAAGCAGTTTGTACAAATAGGGTAGTTCGAAATCTTATTGAAATTCAATTAGTTTTATTTCCAGCCTTTCTAAATGTTGTACATGCTGTATTTCGACACAAAAATCGCGTCCCCTGTAAAATTACAAAAACAGTACTTCCAGTGTAATGCTTCTCAGGTACGGCTATTTTTTTAAGCACACTATGATATCACTGAAGAAATAAATATATATATATATATACATTGAAATATAACAAAAAAACCTTATTAGTGAAATGTAATACTAATTATATTAGCTAATTTTATAATATTTCTGTAAATAAATGTTTATGAAAAGTTAGCAAGTTGCAATTTTTTCATATAATTCTGTTATAAAGCACGAAGAAAATTAATGTGAATTTATATTAAATACCTTTCAACTATTATCATGCCCTACTGGTCCCATAACGTACTTAGCTCGGTCATTCTCGGACTAGTGTTCAAGTATATTATCGTGTAATTATTAAATTATATTTCACGATACAGTACTCGAATATTGTATATAATATTGCACGATAAAAAATCAAATATAAAATAATATTGCACGATAAAAAAATCTAATACTGAAATAATAAAAATTGCCACGGAAATTAGGTACTGAACATTAGGCCGAGAATAGCTAAGCTATTGTAACATCCATGCGTACTTATGGATAACAATAAATTATAAGTATTATTATATAAAACCCCTTTCATATTACACAATTAAGATATTTTCTATTTTAGTTTTAAGCTTTTTCTAGGCGGAAAACTTTAAGCAATTTATCGCACGTTCCACCTTTCAACTAAAAAAAAGAAGAAACAATAGGATACATAGATATCTAACAAAGAAACAATAGGATACACAGATATATCGAAGAGCAGTGAGTTGAGGGAGCGAACTTATTTTGGTATCTGTTAACGGTCCGATTTAAACCGTAGCTGGTTTTGAACTAGCGCATCTATTATGCGATTGATGTGCATTACATTTGAATTGAATTGTCGTAATAAAGCCGATAATTAGAATTTTAACCTACAACCTGAAATAATTGAAGTTAATCCAAGGTCACCATGTTAAGTATGAACAACAAATATTAAGTAGTTTTTAGTCCTTCGGGATAGGCTAAGGGCGCCTTCAACATAGACGTTCAAAATCATTGCCTTACAATTATATGGACGACGGGTCTAATACAATAACCACGAAAAAAATGTCCCAAGTCAACCTATTTAAACGTAGCGACATATAATATGAATAAGCTAAAACGTTCAATTTAAATTGTAATGTCATCGCAGTACTGTCTAATTTTGCTTGCTTCGCTGTCAGTCGAACAAACGAAGACTAAAGCGTGAATGACGCTCTGTATACGATTTTAACGCCCTATAAGTTCGGACACTTTTTAGCGCGGACCCGACGTCCATATAATTGTAAGTCAATGTTAAAAATACTAATTTTCATACAGTATTTCGAAGCGCAGTTGCGATGCCACTGCCGTGACACAAGCGCGCCCATTTTGCAGTCACCACAGACCACATAAATACTTGTAAGTCACAATTTAGTGATCTAAAAATTTACTGAAGCGCTACGGACGCACGGCTTCTACAAGCAGCCAATTAGAAGGCGCCCGTAGGCATTTAATTGTTCGTCCTAGGTATGGTCGGGTACAATAAACTGGAAGTAAAGGAGATCTGCCGTTAGTTACAGGTATTTTTGAATTGCTACGGGGCCAGCAATATACAACAGAGGAGTATTGGGAAAGTAAACTTTTAGCTCTAACGAATTATGTTTTGCCTGTATAGTTAGTGTTACGTTGTGACGCAAATAAATAAATAAAATTATCCGTACTGCCAAGACTTCGAGTGTAAATTTTTCTTCAATAGTTTTTTTTTAAATTTTTACCTTAGATTCTCACCAATCAAGTTGAGTAGTGATCATTGAGTAGTCAAAGGTTCCACTATACTCTTGCCTCTTCATATAAATTTAGTATCTATCCTCGTTTTAATATCCTATTCTGACTTTTTTCGCGGGAAATCGTTAAATCTTGACGGTGGCCATTTTGAAAATCGAAAAATATTTAAATGATATTCATATATTTAATAATTGTAATATTTGCGCGCGCAAATGTCCAGAACTGCACAAAAAGAAAAATAAGAACGATTGATGCATTACGGCATTCCGCCTAGTATATTCTGTCATTGTATATTAAAAACAAACATCAGAATATACTTTCGCGTGTACAAGCGCGTCCATTTAATACAGTATTCATCTTAGATTAGTGGCGAGTGTAAGACTGATCTTGCTTAGTGGTTATACCACATAAATGACATTAGGCAGTGGAAAGACGGACGATATGTTCTCAAGAATGTACTTACGATAAAAAAGCACCGTTAACGCCGTTATCGACGTCAAATGACACTCGTGACTCCCAATTTATCTAAACAAGACTCTCCAGCCTTTTACAATCAATAAAACACTATCGTATAACTCTATGTTTCGTCTACAGCTACTAGCAGCCTTAGAGGAAGCAATTAAGTATCTGTATAAACTTTACGACGGTCTATTATTATTACTTTTGAGTTTTGTTTACAGTTTACTGTTTGAGGTGATTAGTCCATTCAAGACCTGTCCTAGAGAGCAACCGGTTATAAATTGTTTCAAAATGTAGCAAAATAATGTTGTGTAATTAGGTAATTTAAATTAAATATTCTTGTATAGAATCGAAAATGCGGAATGTAAGTGCGAGCACGTTACATAATTTTATGTGGGTAACACTTCTAAGGGTAACACTGTTTAGAAGGTTATTTTTCTTAGAAACCTAGAAATAAGGTTCTTTTTTTAATATTAGTTTTATGGCATCGGAATAAATCCATCAAGCCAAATCTTCGAAAATTATTCTTCATATCTTTTGAAATACCTTCGATTTTTTCCCTTCGTTCCGTTTGGAGCAGGCAATGGACAGAGACCATACTGCGCGAACTCATGTTACCATGTTTGTTGCATAGTGACGTTTTCGTGAGCGAGTCACTGAAATAGCTCACGAAAACGTCACGATTTTTATGATAGTTTTAGTGTAATGACACTAAAACTATCATAAAAATCTGACATAACAATAAATTTTAACTTTGTTCAATTGATACAACATCCTTGCTGTATTATGCTGGCATCCGTACTTGATTATACTGCAACATAAATACAGATGGGTTACGAATTTACATTTGGAGTGCATGAAAGAGCCTCCCCGCACTACATACTATTGTTTTTCTGTACGCATGGCACACCCTTTTTATACGCTATGAATACCCTGCCGCGTTATTTGGGACTCTCCTTCGGCGATAAAAGCTCGTCCTGTGGATTCTCGGAGGTCTACCCGCAAAAATTTGTGTATTCGCTCTCTCCCACTGATACCGGTTCGTAGGATTCTATTGTAAGACTCACCACTCACCCCGCTGATTGGCCTTTTTCGCGCACCCTCCTCACGTTAACAACTATCTTGTATACCTATTAGCAGGTCTATTTACGACGTTGGTAAGAATTATAGTGTATGCCATCAATACGATAAGAAGAATCGAATTTACATCATATTCGTTTTTACCGTTTAAATCATTGACTTACAATTATAATGACGTCGGGTCCGCGCTAAAAAGTGTCCGAACTTATAGGGCGTTAAAATCGTATAAAGAGCGTCATTCACGTTTTAGTCTTCGTTTGTTCGACTGACAGCGAAGCAAGCAAAATTAGAAGTACTGCGATGACATTACAATTTAAATTCAACGTTTTAGTTTTTTCATATTCCTTTACATGTCACTACGTTTAAATAGGTTGACTTGGGACATTTTTTTCGTGGTTATTGTATTAGACCCGTCGTCCATTTATTTGTAAACCAATGGTTTAAATGCAACATTTATCGTTACCATACATAACTACGAGTTTTCGATTCTATACAAGCAACTATGAAGTTAATTCCGTTGTCTATTGCGGGTGTAAAAATAGACAAAACAAACCAGTCGCTCAGTTCCTCTTCCCACCTCAGCGAAACCACGGAAAGCAACTAGAAACTTTTTATAGATTTACAACTGCTGGTCGTATTGTTGACGACGTTTCTAAACATTATTCAATGAAATAATTACACCATGTAACACTACTTTTGTTTTTTCGTTATTAATAACATTTTCTAAGTTAATTTTATCGCAAAAACATGAAAAATCTTTATTTCGCTGTAAAATCTTTGCATTTTTGTCAGAACAAGGAACAAATACTTATTTGCATAAATACATGAAAAATTTCTGATTTCTCTTTATTTAAAGACAAAAAGTGACCATTATATTTCAATTCGATAGTATATTTCCAAAACTCTACAAATAGATCACAAAGAACTTAGAAATATGTAGTGAGATTTGCAAGATTATGTAAATACCCTTATGTGGCTATGTGAATAGGCAGCTATGTACCTAAATACCACTGTGAGAACAGCAAAAGCAAAATAGCTATTCTTTTCTATATCCTTGTTGCTTACTTAACAGAAGCCAATACTGTCAAAGCTTGAAAATTTGTTGTAATTTTTAGTGTTATTTTTAAAAACTAGTTATTTAAATGAATGATTATTGTATTATTTAGTCCATGTTTATTTATTTACTTATTAGCAACATTAACATTAGGCGTGTGCACAACACATTTTTATCTTATTTGACTTGGGTGTTCCACGGTGTAAATGCAACAATTATGGTGTTGACGGTTAATATAAATTAACAGCAATCACAAACTAATGAAACATTTTTGACAAATTAACATACGTCATTAATATAAATTCGTTATCAATAGAAGTGAGAAATACTATAAGGATTTAATTAATATTGACTGTCTTAAGCATTGACTTACAAATAAATGGACGACGGGTCTAATACAAAAACCACGAAAAAATGTCCCAAGTCAACCTATTTAAATGTAGTGACATGTAAAGGAATATGAAAAAGCTAAAACGTTGAATTGAAATTGTAATGTCATCGCAGTACTGTCTAATTTTGCTTGCTTCGCTGTCAGTCGAACAAACGAAGACTAAAGCGTGAATGACGCTCTGTATACGATTTTAACGCCCTATAAGTTCGGACATTTTTAGCGCGGACCCGACGTCCATATAATTGTAAGTCAATGGTCTTAAGAGAAATAATCTAAAAGTAAATGTTTCAAAAACAAAGCTCATACAAATTTGTAATTATAATGGAAAGCCCCAGAAACTCTCTGTAAGTTGTCATGGAGATGAAATTGTGGAATGCTCTTCCAGCAATTTTCTCGGCATAGTATTGGACTCTTAACTGACATCGAAACCACAGGTTGATTCAATATGTGCAAAGATGAATCGATTTGTATTTGGTTTACATCGTCTAACGCACATATGCGATCAGAGGACTGACGTCTTGATGGCCTACCATGCATTTGTCTGCTCAAGCTTGCGGTATGGCCTCATCATCTGGGGGAACTGCGTAGAGCTAAACCGTGTGTTTGCTATCCAGAAAAAATGTGTCAGAGCTATATGTAGAGTAGGTCCGCTCGAATCTTGTAGACCGTTTTTTAGAAAGCTAAATCTTCTAACGCTTCCCGCCATGTACGTGTATGAGGTATGCATGTATGTTAAAAAAAACTTGGTCTTATTTACTAGGAAACGTGAAGTATGTAATTGTTTAACTAGACATCCAAACCGCGTAGCTGGCCCCTTCCATAAGACTACTTGCTTTAATTGGAATTGCTACAACATGTCTATACAAATACATAATACTTTGCCTGCAGCTATCGCAGACTTACCTATAAAAATATTTAAAAAAAAGTTATTTGATTTGCTATGTGATCTGTGTTTAAATGGTATCAAAGATTTTTTAATAACAAAAAGAAATTGACATTTTGTTTGTATTTGACATTTTGTTTATATTTGTGCTGTTCTTACTTCTTTGATATTGTTTAATTTATGTTTTCATTGCTGTTGCTATTTATTGGCATTTTTAATTGTTTAACTTCAATTTATTTTAATATATGCGTGCCAGTATCTGGTGCAAAACGTGTTCTTGACACCTTGTATAATAATATCTTTTGTTACCGAGTTTGCTTGTGAATAAATATTTCATTTCATTTAATTAATTAAGTTTCTTTTGAAGCAATCGATGTTGTAATACGTTACCATTTAACGTTATAATTATCACGTAACGTACATGTTAGTAAATAGACAATACGCCTACAATATGTAATGTGGTCAAAGTCAAAGTTAAGCGATCTTTATTTCATAACTAAACAAATTACACTAGAAATTGTCACACTGATTAAACTCCACGACTCATTTGTAAGGGAGATTCCCCTGAGAAGAATGAGCATGAAACTCTAGGGGTTGCTCTTTGTGAATATACATTTGAATACACTTTGTATCATTACAATATTTTTTTAATATCAATCGGAATCTTATTAAAGAAGCTCCATATATTGTCCCATTAAATGAATTTAAGACTTTAAGAAGTTGGTATAGCGTCTGGCACAGTACGTTGATTCTCCAGGAAGCCCTAGCCCAATCCCCCAATGGATCTTTGTGAACTCAGCAGTTCATTAGAATTCCCTAAGTTAAATGTATGAGAAGTTGCAATCACTTCTTGAAGTTAGGAAACTATGAAATACTGGCTCAAGAACGACGACGTTAGAAAAATGTGGTCTGTGTTCAGTGGAAGACAGCGTACTAACAATTCTAGCGAAAGCTGGAATTCAGGATTAATTAAAATGATTGGCCGTAAACGCCCCAACATTATACAATTGTTAAATACACTGAAAAGAGTTTCTGAACAATAGCTAAAAAAAATTAAATTATTATATTATATATCATAAATTCGTCCAAGAAGAAGTATAGTTGGAAATATTGAATAATGATATAACTGTAGGACAGTTTTTAGATATAGTTAGGCAAATGATAATAACAATTTAACGCAGCTTAGTTTATTACAACTAACCACAGGTCGCTGCAGTTTCATTTGTTTTTCGGCTCTTTTTCATCCGTTTTTCACCTTTATTATTTCCCTTTAATAAATATAGACAAGAGTGCATTGTGTGAATAGGGCTTAACGTTATGTATCCGCGTCAGGGGTATTCTAATGAACTATTGAGTTCGCAAGGATCCTGGTGGACGAGAAGACGTCGCGTCGTATCCGGCCGGATCGAAGGAATTTTTTCTGAGCGTTCGATCTTTGTATTAATAATTATAACAAACTAGTGGAGTAATTTCACACAAAAAGTAATTGAATATCAATTCAATAAAAATTTAAATCCAAGTTTTATTTTCTAGTATTTAAGCTTTTATTGGATTTTTTACCTTACCTGTATATTATCAAAATAAAAAACAGTAGAGGAGGCGTATTGAAGTCATGATTTAGTATCTTATGTATTTAATGGAAACAAGAAACTTTGTAAGGAAAAATATTAATAATTTTGAATTTGTTAAAATTGATCGCCGAAATACAAACTTAATCTTACCAACACTACGTGTCGAAATGTATTGAAATTGACCATAATATAGAGCAGTAAAAATCTATAAAAAATTCCCTGACACACTAAAAACAATAGAAAGAAAGACTATTAAATAATATTGCTTCCCTTGTTTAATCATTAACTTGTATTCAAAATGTATTATTAATTTCAACTCATAAGAATTATGATTTGTTATACCCTTACTGGGTGCATGTAACATTTTAAATGTAACGTGTCTACCAATGCAAATAAATAAATAAACAATAAATAAAAAAAGGTAAACTATATTGTTTTTGTTCCCTCTAGGTTGGTATCTGTGGTTGGTTCGACTGGCGATTGTTTTTTCTATTGAGTCTAAATCAGTTGTGACGAGAAATACCTATAATGAAAAGACTGCAAATTTTGCACGTCTCGACAGATTGTACGCCTAAACAGATTGTACGCCCCGGTCATTCTCGAACTAGTGTTCACTACCTAATTTCCGTGGCAATTTTTATTATTTAAATTTAATATTCAATTACATTATCATGTATCGTGCAGTATCATTAAATGACATTGCACGATAAATAAATCGAAAACACTAGACCGAGAGTGATCGGTCTAATGTTTGGTCGGGTACAGTGAAATTATACTTATTTTCGTAACTATTTTTTCGAATCTAAACAGCGTTTATTTTTTAATTAATATAATGGAGCGTGTAACCGTTCCGAAATATCGGGAAAATAAAAAGAAATCTTATCGTGGTAAGAAACCTGTAATTATGTTACGTGGTATAAAACCACGAAAGTCTTAAAATCTATACTTACAGGTACTTACTTACTTTTTGTTTAATTTTGAAATCGTGTTTTTCAATTCCACAGTTTTGCGTTACGATAGTATTTGGTATCGTGTGCGACATGCTTACTGATGACTTATACTACACTAATTTGTCCTGTTCATTAGGATTTGGTGGATGGATGTCCTTAGCACAGACATTCATTATTTATATTGGCTTTTTTGGGGATCAGTTGCGCCCTATAAGCGGTGTAACGTTCACCCTCGGTAACAAGCGCAACGGACCGCGAGCGCAGCGCACTTCCTATCCCAAAAAGGCCCTGTCAAAACACTTAGCCGGCAAGAAAAAAGTGTGAAATTATCTTAAGTGGTCAGTGTCTACGAAACTCCCTTTTAAAATCGGGCTAATATAACGGTACGTTCTAAGTAAAGATACAAGTGAAGATAAGTTAATAAGATTATTATTATACCACATGTTGGGGTCGGGGACCGGCTTTTAGGGAAAGAATGTTTCTGAAACCCGTGTATAAAAAACGAGTGGAGTCCCGGTGTCGGTCATTCGATGTCCGACCTGAGCGCGCGCATCTTCGTTCCCGAATAACAAGCCTTTTTTGTGTCAAGCATCCTCAATCCTTCATTGGGCACCGACTCCAGTTCGCAGGCAGGGCTTCCAAGGGGTGAACGCTTTCCAATATCAAAGTTACCCGGTCGTAGTGCGATGTATCCGGACACTAATGCAGTGGTAAGTCACCACTCAATATTATTCCTATTGTGTATTTGCTTTTTGAATTTTATAGCGTTTGTTTGTTTGTATTTATTGTTAGAGAAAATTTCGTATCAACTACCTATTAACTTTAGAGTTTATAGTACATACCTACGTCATATGCGTTCATAGATGTGTATAATCTCTATCGTGATATTGTTTTACGTAAATTTGTGGCTTTAACTGACTTCAAAAAATAGGAGGAGGTTCTTTATTTCGGCTGTATTTTCTTTCATATGTTTGTTACGCGATTCTCCGGCCTATTATTGTACGGATTTTGATTATTCTTTTTTGTTGGAAAGAGGGTACCTCAGTAATGGTCCCAATTAATATTGAACTAAATATTCTACCTCTATGGGTGGTAAACTAGGGGATGAATCCGGTTTCGCGTTATTTCCGGTGACCGATTGCAATAAAACTTGGCAAATAGATGTAATTTTACGAACATTTGAGGTCGGCTTTTTTTTTGTAACGAAGTTATGCATGATTATTAGGCAAATCCGCTAACTGTTAAAACTTTCTTTAAATATCGGACTTTGTATAATTAGTAGAAATGTTTTGCTGCACACGCAATACTACGTCCCACTGCAGGGCACACGTATTAAAAAAGAAAGAAAATGGGAAGGAAAAAAGAAACAATCATTCATATCCCATAAAAAGCGTCGTGTGTTTATGGGGTGTTTATTGAACAATTTGTCTATTGTCGGTTAGAATTTCAATTTGAGAGGCGGCTCTGCGCCCGCGCCGCACCGCATCCTGCAAGTCATGCCGTGCTTTAACGCCTCTATTATGACACCCGCCGACAATGGAATAAAGATATCTAAATAACTGAATGTAATTTGTAAAATAAACTCGACATATTTTTATAAGCCGGTGCTTATAAGATTTGGTTTCGTGCAAGTGTTTAGGAACGTAGTTCAACAAAACTTTTTGAGTGTTGTATATGAAATAGCGTTTTTTAGTGTACTTATTTTTAAATATTTGTATATTATGTGAATTGTATTTCACAACTTCATAACATTGCATTGACTTACAAATAAATGGACGACGGGTCTAATATACACAAACCACGAAAAAAATGTCCCAAGTCAACCTATTTAAACGTAGTGACATTTAAAGGAATACGAAAAAGCTAAAACGTTGAATTTAAATTGTAATGTCATCGCAGTACTGTCTAATTTTGCTTGCTTCGCTGTCAGTCGAACAAACGAAGACTAAAGCGTGAATGACGCTCTGTATACGATTTTAACGCCCTATAAGTTCGGACACTTTTTAGCGCGGACCCGACGTCCATATAATTGTAAGTCTATGTAACATTGTGTCACCTATTTTATCACCTGCTTGTGGGTCCGTTGTTACTAAAAACAATCGACTGTCATCATTTGAATAAAGAGTCAGTGACCTATTATATAGCGTGGCAAGTACAGTGGCATGATATGAAATGTTACAAAATAATATCTATGTCATGATCATGAGTGCTGCCGCGTCGGCCGTTTACCGATTATCCACGCTTTGGACAAATCACTTTTTAATGCTACATTCAATCAGCAAATCGTAACGCGTGTATTCAGTTTAATATTTTTACTTATGGATTAATTTGTATAAGCTTTATATTTAATTTATTTAGGCACATACCACACGTTATCTATTAGTGACGTAATAAAATGTATACGACTCGGGTCTCTACGATTATATACAGGGTGTAAATTTAAGACAGGGCCAGCTAGATTAATCGTCGTTGTTTTCCTGTACCTGACTACAACGATAAGAGGCTTATTTTTAAACGTTTAAACGTTATGTTTTTTTTTAAAAAGCGTGATTTTTTAAACACTTTTTAGTTTGAAGCTAACAAAATCCTTTAAGCGCATGGACTTTTACGTTAAAAAAGCTTGCAACGTTGTGTTGATAGCGAAAAGCAAAAGTACACCACTAAAGGTTTTTTTTGTAAATTACGAGTTATATTTTATTTATGATATAACATTTTCATATTAACATTTTGTTCATTGGCGTTTAAAAGCGTTGAAAAACATGAGTTGTTCAACTTTGTAGTTGTTAACCGTTGAAATGAAGAAAACTGCTTATTTTTTAACGTTAAAACGTACGTTTAAAAAGCGTGCTAGTAAAAGCGATTTTCACACGCTTTTTAGTTAGACGCTTAAAAAGTCGTTTAGAAAAACGTTTAAGCGCATAGACCAACGCTTACGCTTAAAATGAAAAGCAAGAGCGCGCTTTTCATTTCAATTTTAAAAAGCAGACTTTTTTAAGTGCTTTTCGTTTAAACGACCACCTTTAACAACGATTAAGGTAGCCGGCCTTGCTGTCCCATCTCAAATTTACACCCTGAATATACTCCGAAACGGTCACAGTGTTTACACGTCTACACATGAACTAAGTAAGCGACATGAAACGGGACATAGTGGCTTTTATATATTAATTTTGTATGTTCAATGTGAGGTCAAAGTCGTACAATCATGCATGCATGTTTTTTTATAATACTAAGTGGCGGAAAGAACAAGTCGTGCATCTTGTGGTGAACGGGATGCCTGTCCATAACAGTGACAGTGCACTGTCACTGCGCCCGACACCCTGAGACATGAGTTGACAAGTCCCATGTGCCTGAAATTTCTCCAGCACCCCTACCCTTCGAAACTGGAACGGAGTAATGCTCACATTTCTGTTAGGCGGCAGAAATAGGTAAGATGGCAGTTCTACTGCTACTAATTTCTTTTTTAAGTTAATCAAATGCGTTGAGATAGTTACAATTACAAATTTTTCGCACTTCCCTGTTAGTACATAGGTTTTTGTGTACGAGCGTGTAATTTTAAATCAAAATAGCTCTATTAAATGTTAGTAGCAGTAGAGCCCCTTGTAAAAGAGTTCGTCTAAGGAAGTACTGCCATCTTACCCATTTCTGCCGCTACGCGGTAATTTGATTAGTGAAATTACAGGCACATGGGACTTGTCAACTTATGTCTCAGGGTGACGGGTGCAGTGGCAATACCCCTCAGATCTTTGCGATTTAAATCTCTGAGTGACCATGCAACTACTATGAACAGGCGTGTCGCTTACACCCAGACACACGACTCGTTCATTCCGTCATATCATAAAAAAATGTAAATAATGGATTAAAATATAATAATGTCGCAAGTACTTACAATGTAACAGCGTGAGACCCTCTCCGCTGATGTTGCCATGCTCTTACGGATTATCATGTTGTCCTATAGTAGTATGTATCTATTTGTTACTTACCTACGATTACAAATGTGCAATATGATAATGAATTAGTAAATGTGCGATAACACTGTGTAATTAATGTGTAAATTATGATCATAACTTTTTTATAAAAAAAACCGGGTTCAGAAGTTCGTGGAAGTGCATCTACTTATTTGCCAAGTTTTGTTGAAATCGGTTACCGAAAAGTGAGCGAAATACGGATTCATCCCCTAGTTTGTCACCCTCAGAGGTGGAATATTTTCTTCTAATTTAAATAGGACGAATACCCTCTTTTCAGCAAAAAAATTCATCAAAATCGGTTCACAAATAAGACAGAGACACAGAGACAGAGAGAGAGACAGAGTAATTGCGTAACATAAACACAAAAAAATACAAAAGAATTGAGAACCTCCTTCGTTTTTTCAAGTCGGTTAAAAATAGTCTTTGAACCGTTGTTTTTTGGAACCGATACTCTGAAACAATAATATTATGATACACCATCTAACACGATTTTTATTTCTGGGGTGTCAATATAAATTCGTTTCTGACATAAAAACGTGAAAATACTTTATTGCCCTTCAAAAACATTGTTTTTGTGGTCAGTATAAGGGAAAGTTCAAATTTGCGTTCCATTAATTAAACGTACAAAGTTTCGGGTTTCTTTTTATTTAAAAACTAAATGAGAAATGAAATGTTGCTTTATTTTCTCATCGTAAACAGGTTTAAGAGTATAGGACCTTATAGGTTAAAACAAAACAAAGATTAGATAAAGTGTTTTGTGAGAGACTGATGTCTGAGATTGGTACAGAAAAACCTCGGTTCTGGCTTTGTGGTTTAAACACAGGAGATTCCTAATTATTTAATATAAAAAAATATTTGTGGTGTACTAAACAAAATGCTTAAAACCTCTAAGACTTAACTCTAAGAATCTCTGTATAAATAATGAATGAATGTGTGTTTGTAAGGTGCGTGTGTTACTGATTAGGTGTATTGAAAGTATGGTGCGTTTGGGGTGTATGCATGGTACGTATAGTGTGCGAATGTGTTTAGGCAAGAGAATTACTAGAACAGTTAAGAGGAATGTAGTGCTATTTGAGGATAAAAAGTAATTGCTCCGTGTCGTCATAATTTAGGGTCGTACTCCAGTTGGTGGTAGTCTTTTTAGAGAGTGACTTTGATGCGCGCCTTGTGTTTAATTTGTTGTATGTACAAATAGGGTGCGTGGAGGCAGAAGAAACGCTGAGAAAAACTGGTATTTACGGTTTTGGTTTGACAGGCCGCTCCCTTTCTACGTTTATCTTTAGTTACATTGGGTTCATATACAAATATTATAATTTCAAACCAATATATACAAAATGTGAACCTACAAATGAGTCGACTTGCAAAATATGTAAATATCACTATGTAGCTATGTGAATACGACTGTGACAGCCACAGAAGCAAAGTTTCTGGGATATATCTACTCTTTTTAACCGACTTCAAAAAAAGGAAGAGGTTGTCAATTCGACTGTATGTTTTTTTTTGTATGTACTCAATAACTCTGGCATTTGTGAATCGATTTTGGTGATTCTATTTTTGTTGGAAAAAGGGTACCTTACCGGTACCGGTAATCTATTTCAATAAAACTTGGCAAATAGATGTAATTCCATGTACTCTTGAGGTCAGTTTTTAGTACTCTGTACTTTTTGATTATCTACATACAATATTTGCTTCAGAAACCAATAGTGTTAAACCTGAAACAGAACTTCTTAACTCAAGTGACAGAACAGTTTTTAAAAATTTGTTACGTAGTGTAATCTATACGTGATGTAAACTGTGGCAGCTTAATAAATAAATAATTGAAGACAACGTTCCAATCCTACGCTAAGTACTTAACACAAAACAAGAACTGCTCGACAACGATCATCCTTTTCTAGAACATAATTATCCCCTCTAACGAGGGATTGACTGACATCTGTTTTTAACTCCATAATTACGAAAAGCGGTCGAGAGTATGAAACAAAAGTGATGATCAATCTTCCAGCTTATTACTTGAGATGCCGTTAGATAAATAGACTATGGAGTTTAGAGACGTGGTATAAACAAACAAAAAATATGGGTACAGTTTATTTTAATACTCACAAATTCATTTAAGAGGCAATGTATACGATTCTATGATAAATTTCCCATCGACATTGTTTTTAACCGACTTCAAAAAAGGAGGAGGTTCTCAATTCGACAGTATGTTCTTTTTTTTATGTATGTATGTTACGCGATAACTCCGGTATTTGTGAACCGATTTTCATGATTCTTTTTTTGTTGGAAAAAGGACCCCCGTCCTTCCATAGTGGTCCCTTTTCATTTTGAAGAAAATGACCCACCTCGAAGGGTGGCTGTTCACGCATGAAGATTCACTTTTTATAAATAGCGCCTAACTTTAATTTAGGAGCACTTACTTTAATGGTTGATTTGCTATTTCTCCAATTCAAGGCGTTTTTCCCTCGATATACTTTGAGTAGTGTCGTAGTGAGAACCTATTTTTATTATCTCCAGTATCAAGTCCTGTATAGTGGCGAACTAGGGGATATTTCAATAAAACTTAGCAAATAGCCGTAATTCCACGTACTTTTGAGGTCGGTTTTTTTAGTACTCTGTACTGAGATTATTATAAGATCAAGTCACGGGACGTACAAGTCGTGTGCCTGGAACTAAGCGACACGCCTGTCCATACCAGTTGCAGTGCCACTCATAGTTTTAAATTGCAAAGATCTGAGGCGCATTGCCAAGAGACACAAGTGCACAAGTCTCCTGTGTCTGTAATTTGAACCATCACCCTTACCCTTCAAAACCGGAACGCATTAATTCTCACATTACTGCTTGGCAGCAGACATAGGTGGCAGAACTTCCCCGGGCGAACTTCACAAAGAGCTATACTGGTATTAAACTACTGATATTCAATATATGCCATTCACCGGGTTTAAAACTGAGGTGAAACATAAACTTATACAGCTTCTACGGACATGGATGACAAAAATACGAGGCAGTGACCCGCTGAGATCTTACAGATTTGAAAAAATATTGTAAAAATGTTAAATACTTTTTTATGATACCCAGTGACGGGACGAACAGATTGTGTGCTCGGTGGTAAGCGACACACCTGTCCATAGCAATTGTAATGCCACTCAGGGCTTTAAATCACAAAGATCTGAGTAGCGTTGCCACTGCTCCTGTCACCCTGAGATAATGTGTTCACAAGTCTCACGTGCCTGTAATTTCACCAGCACCCTTAAACCTTCAAAACCGGAAAGCAATATAGCTTAAATTACGCTTTGCGACAGAAACAGGTAAGAAGAACAGGGAGCTTTTCTGCTACAAATGTTTATTCATAAAGAGTAACCCTTAGAGTTTCTAACTTAGAGGAATCTGCCTTACGGATGATGATGATAGCAGAGTTTACCCATATGACGATTACAAGTGCGATTTGTTTACCTAAGACATAAAGATTATTTGGGTTTGAATTTAATAAAAACTCAACGATGTTGTAAAAGTATTCCTTTTTTTTGGACAAAAATTTGTTTCAAAAATTTTGTTCGTTCAGAAACAACAGATTTGTTTGGATTTGTTACTAATTAAATTATTCAGTCCAATTGTAAGAGAAAAACGTTTCTCCTAGAAGCGTGGCTGTGTTCGTTTACTCGTGTACCTAATTAAAAACATAGATCGTATAGAAGTTTAGTAATTAGGTTTATGATTTTTTTTTAATTACTGCAGTACTTATAATGTCCAATAAGAATTAAAATTGAATCAAAAACTATCGTTCACAAAAAGTAACATTTTGGATGCGATTTGAGTTTACGTATTTAAAAAAAATTTATTTAACACACTTTTCAATAAATATCAAATACGCACAGCGTTGTCGAATACATTTCTAACCACACACATAAATTTTACAAGCCAAAAAGCCTCGCTTCAATCTAAAAAATGAAACTAATTATCACATAATACATAAAACTATCTCAAATCTTTCAGTGGGAGTCGTACAAGGCGACTAAAATCCAGGACAAGCGCTACTAACGTCCGGGAAGATTACGTCTTGGTTTATAGATAGGCGGAATTTTATTCATTGTACAAAAGAACTAGGAAGTTTAAAATGATTTAGTATTAAATAACACCGGAAAAGTCTCTGTTCTTTGTTCAGTTACGTATCACTAATTTCCAAGTGACTTTAAAAAGCTTTGTTACATTTTAATTCCGATGCAATTGTAGATAAACAATGGTTAGAAATTCAAAGTTATTTTATATACAATGCGCGTACATACGTAACAAGATACAATATCGTGTTAAATATCACGTAGCCTAAATAATTGGAGTAGATAGTAAGAAATTGGTGTTTTGTATAAAAGATACGCGTGCTATCAACCCAGCCATCTTGAAGGTATTTTTCTAAAGGACTTGTGTTGTAGAAATTTTAGAAACAGTAGAGCTCAGTATAAAAGAGTTCGTCCAGGGAAGTACTGCCACATTACCTGTTTCTGCCGCCAAGCAGTAATGTCAGGCCATTCTACCACAGAGGTCGTCATAAACAAAGCAAGTGTGGATTGGAGAGTTGAAAGAGGTTGTGGAGGTGCTGCCGGTGCTGGGGGCGTTCTGGTGGATTATAACGGTGTGTAGCCTGGATAGCATTAATAGCCTCCGCAGCCTCGCAGCCTCCAACATCTTATTTAGTAATTTTAGCAATTCAAACGTTGAAAGTCCAGTTTATAGATATTTAATCGGTTTTGACAAATATTTTCTTTAAAACGTAAACTGTAAAAATATAGCTAGTAAACGATTGAAAAAGATAAACAATGGTATGTTCGCTACCGCGGTCGCGCAGAGAGTGACGATGGAAAAAAAACAAAATCAGAATGCGAGGTAAAATGGAACAATTTTTAATTTAAATATGAGTAGAAGAAGAAAACGATACGATACGAATGGAGAGAGGCGACACAAAAAGGTGGGATGACGGTATAAGGAGGTCACAAGGTTAACCTCAGCGAATGTATTTCAATTACACTGAGGATGTTTTTAGCCAGCTTAGGAGTACCCTAATTAAGGCAAGTCACCGGAGGAGAAGCGAGAAAACTGTTTTGCTAAATGAAAGGGTTTAGGTATTTAGTATTAAATAACGGTATTACAACAAATATACGATGCACATAAAGATATTGTCTAAAATATGTGCTAATTTGTTACACGATACGATATACTTTATCCGATCATATATAATCCTGAAAACAGCTAAAAGTCTAAAACGATTTATTTAAGACTAAAATATCTGACTTTGTACATCATTTTTATATAATAATAATAATAATATAATAAATTTCTTTATTTCGGACTTAAATTATCCATAGTATGTTAATAACAGCAAAAACTTAAAGTAAGGTTAGTACAAACAAAATGAAAATTCTAAAACCACAACTACAGCTCCCATTGGGCCACACCTTTTGTTTGACTCATCCAATATTCTGCAATTGGACAGTCAAACCTCCAAGCGATAGCGTTCAGAATGCTGTTGGTACTTTTCCGGATGCGACTCCACAGGGCGACAATCCTCTTTCGCATGACGGCTTGGAAGCCGTCCGTACGAGCTTCCGCAAACATGCCCGACGCGCTACACCTACTTGGCAGTCCCAACAGCATCCTAAACGCGTTATTGTACTGTACTTTATATGGGATTTCTCTTTAATTACTACAGAGAACCTGCTAAATTTTGGCTTCCAATCGTAGCCCTATCGTTATTCAATTTATCCCAAAATTTGCAAATTGCTCAGTGGTTAGTCGATACGCCGCGCCGCCTGCTGCCCGTTAGGCATTGGTTTATCGTCAGTCGCCATCGGGCGCTTGTCGACGTCGAATCTGTGTTAAATTTCCTCCGCCTGTTCTTACTTTATTCATATTAATTTACATCGCGCGGATTAAACCCACACCTCAACTCCTATAACAGTATTTTTTTGTTTAAAAAACCGATCTTGATAGTTTGCTTAACGGGTTTTTATTGAAATCTAAATGCATCTATTTGCAAAGTTTCATTGCAATCGGCTGACGGATAGTGCGCGAAACGGATTCATCACCTAGTTTGCCACCCATAGAGGTGGAAAATTTTCTCATATGGGACCAATATACAAGTCTTTCCAACAAAAAAAGAATCATCAAAATCGATTCAGTAATGTCGGAATAATCGTGTAACATACACAATAAAAAAAATTGTCGAATTGAACACCTAATTTTTTGAAATCGATTAAAAATCTAGGCTCAAGTTGCAACCTCGCCTTAACTTAATAACAATGTACCTATTATAGTTTAAGTTTCAAAAATGGCTCTCAAATGAAGTTGATATTTGGCTGTGTTGATTATTGAGTTTGCCGACCACAGCTCTAAAATGTTAAAGTTACATTTTTTTTTAATTACGTAATTTTACTACACTTCAAAGCCATTCGTTAAATCACATTACATTCCTAAGTATTACGACAGCTGTTTTAAACTAAACTTACTTTCATTTTCTGCCTCTCTACGACAGGACTTCGTAGTTTTATTTTCAAGTTACGTACACTCGATGTAATACTTTTGCCCATTATTTTATACCATACAATAGTGGGAATATAATGACTGTGGAATCCGGTTCTTATTATAATAAACAGTAGGTACTTTGTTTATTTGTCAATGTTTTCTTTTTCAGATGCGTTTCTTGTTGAGTGTGGCTTTAATTGCATCTTCGGAGGCGTTCTTCCTCAAATGGGGTTCAGATTCCACGTAAGTATCAACGCGCTTCTTTAATAATTACCTATGCAGTTTTTATTGTGTAATGGTGTTGCATAAACGCGAATTTTCTAGAAGGTTTGCTTGCGAATTACTTACCGCCTGCGTGCCTGTATAATAAGCAATTTGTCATTGTACAACCAGTAAACATCATTAATTAATAAACATCATTACTGTAGTACAGACGACAGCATATCAAGTTACACATTAACGGATCTTGTTCCGCAAGCGAAGTTTGATATGCCTGTTGATTGTACAAACAACTTATTGTAAGCCTGGGTCAGCTGATAAATAATATATGAGGGGCATTGCCTCTGCACACGTCAATTTATGACATAAGTTGATAAGTCCCATGTGCCTGTAATTTCACCAGAACCCTTACCCTTCAAAACCGGAACACATTGTTGCTTGGCGGCGGCAGTACTGTGGCAGTACTTATCTGGACGAATTCTTTCACATATGTGGTCTGTGAGCTCTACTGCTACTACTAACTAAAATATGACATATATCCCGAAAGCTGTAGAAAAAAATAGTGCTGTTATTTCTTTTATAGATTAATGATCTTGTATAACATTAAGATCATTGTTATAGATAATATACATTACACTGTATGAAGATTTTGAGATCTTATATTGTTCTACAACTAAAGAAAATAAAACAAATAATAATTTAAAAAATCTTGAAACGTGTTTTACCGATATAAAACGGGGATTATATTATTACATTTTTGTCCCAAATCTGACCTTTTGCCACAATATTATACAACTATTACAGCGTTTTATGAGATGTATATACATATAAACTACTAAACACGAGTCATCGTAAATTTGTTTGTGACAATGACATAGATAATTTTTGTTTTCAAAATGTGATATGGACTTGAATTGGGTAATGTATAGTCAGTCTTTTTATTACCGTATACAGAATGAAAAGGGAGGTATCTGTTTGTTATGCAGGCATACCCCATCTTAAGTAATTCCTCCCTGAGAACCCATCCTCGATTTCGTCTAAAAACTCGAAACCGAGAAAATAATGTTCAAAGAAACGAAATACAAAAATAACTACTTTTATCTTTAACTTCATACCATATCCACCTATGAAAAATAAAAATGGTGACACGGCAGTAAACCATTGACTTACAAATAAATGGACGACGGGTGTAATACAAAAAGCACGAAAAAACTGTCCCAAGTCAACCTATTTAAACGTAATGACATGTAAAGGAATATGAAAAAGCTAAAACGTTGAATTTAAATTGTAATGTTATCGCAGTACTGTCTAATTTTGCTTGCTTCGCTGTCAGTCGAACAAACGAAGACTAAAGCGTGAATGACGCTCTGTATACGATTTTAACGCCCTATAAGTTCGGACACTTTTTAGCGCAGACCCGACGTCCATATTATAATATAATTGTAAGTCAATGCAGTAAACATAACAACATTTTTGAAAAACTGTCATATGTGTGTGTGGCCCTAACGGCTGTATTGAGTTTGCGATTTGTGACATGAAACTGACGCAAATACTACGTATCGGTTTCTTCTTTCCTTCTATATTGTTTTTCTCAGTTGCAAGTAGCCGCGTAACATTGAGTAACTATGATTATGCGCTCTTGCGGCCAGTGAACCGTGCGCTGCCTGATCCGTTGCCCATTCATCGAAGACCGGCAGCCGCGGTACGAATTAATTGACCAGCTGTTTATGCTCTGCTCCAATTTTTTAATGACTCAACTTTGCCTTTATCGTATGATACATTATTTAAGTGATGCAGATGTTTGCATAGCGAACGTTTCGTCCGGTACATTACATAAGTACAATTATTACGTTTTGACGTGTTTATAATAAACTTTTATTTAAAATGGATTTATTTATAAGGAAGATCAGTTTAAAACTAAATTAAATAATAATAGCAACAATTTAGAGCCAATAAAAAAAAGATCCTCGTAAATAGAAATATAACAAGGAATCTGGGTGCATAATTTACCTAACTTATTATATAAAAAAAAATCACAACACAAGTCTCACTAAGAGTAAAAGAAGTGCTCACTTAGTGCTCTCATCTCATCTCCGAATTCACACTCGTATTGTAAAGGTCCAGATCAAAATAAATACATAAAATGTTAAAATTATTCCTACCACGCCACATAAACTCGTTTTGCCTGTAATTAGTACGGGTCGGAGGTAGAACCAAAAGTGAATGGTTTCTAAGATACTTAGAGGGAACTCTCAGTCATACTTGTGATAGCAATTCCGGAGAGTCAATACAGCCCGATGCTATTTTTATTAAAAACTTTAAGTTACTAATATCACGATGAATTTCAAGTGGTTATTATATATATATTTTCAAGCCTCTGATAATGAGGATTCCAAATTTGGATGGCGTACTTTAAAAAACTGCTGATAAACGTCAAGCAAATACCTGCTAGGGCTCGCTGTGATTCCCTACAGTCGTTGTTGCTTGTTGCAGTAGGACGATGGCAGCACCGAAGACGTGGGTACAGCCTCTGTCGCCCAACGTCTCACCGTATCGTTACCAGTATACGTACTCGCCGTACGAAGCTCGGAAGGTGTACCAGATGCAGCCGCAGCCGTACGCTCAGCCAGAGGTCTCCATCCCGCAGAGTATCGCTCCGATACCTATCAGCGTGCCAGCGGGGGCCAGCCTCACCCCCGTCTCCCTGCAACACGTCCAACTCGTCCCCTGCATGTGCCCCGTCGCCCCAGAGGAGGCTGAGAAACTCCAGGAGCAAGTCGGTCCCGGGCCATACCTCGCCCAGACATATACCCAACCTTCGTACTCTGTACCACAGCAAATGACAGTCGCCGACAATGCTAAAACTACCAAACAGTAGCTCTTTAGCGCTCTACATTATTTAACAAACCCACCAAACATTTTATGATGCTTTTATTGTATAATTTATTATTTCCCTTTTACATTTTATTATTTATATCTTGAAGTGAAGACTGATAGTGTAAGAGTAAACGTGTAACTAAAATCGTTCTCAATAAATAACTCTAGAACTTAACTTGTTGGTTTGCTATTGTTTAAGGAACCTTTTGTTAACTATGTAATAAACTAATTATAAATTGCTAATTTATGGGTAAGTGCTAAATCGATATTTTTTGTGAAACAAGAGCGTAAGCACGCGGCGCATTTTATACGCGACGACGCGTTGATGACGCGCGTTAACGCGATTCAAATGCGATGCCCTTGCGACGAGTGAACCTTTGCACACGTTCACAAATTCAGTGGCGCCGTAAACGCGCGTCATCTGCGCGTATACGCGGAGTAACGACGCAGTAGTCTAGTCGAGCGTATGTATCGCGCATAAGAGATAGTTTTAATGTTAGTTTTGTTTATTATTTTCCGTTCGTTTATGAAATGAAGCGACCAAAAAAACGTAAAAGTACGCAATCTGCATATTTTAGACATAATCTAAAATAAATTTAAGTAAAATCACTTAGTAACTGTACTAAATCATTAACTATTCGATTTTGAGTATTAATTTTGCATGCATTGCGCTAGGCACGAAGTGCGAAAAGGATAAAAAATATAACAAAAGTTGTCTTCAACATGAAATTCTAAATTTGAACTACAATGGGGTATGCTTCATAGATGTAAAAAAAAAGGGGAGATATGTAAAGACGCTATGTAAGATCGGGTACCGTTGTCGCCACTTTTTAACTTGTGTGTAATTCAAACTTTACGCTCTATTATCTACTACCGTAACTTAAAGATTTTGGTTGGGTAGGGCTTAAAACATGAAAACGACGTAACACAATTTTAAAATTTAAGAAAATTAATCTTACAGTCACTTGAGTGAGAGTCATATTTCAGTATTTTTTTCATACTGGTTCAGCTATTCACCATCAGGTGGCGTTTTAGTAAAAATGCTACTAGTGTATAATAGCTAACTATTACACGTTAGGTGGCGCTGAAACTCATTTGTCGTTACACTTAGAACTCACGGAGCGGTTTTCACTCTCGTCTGGTGCGGGACCGCAGCATCTGCAGAGTATAATAATTAAGTATGTAAAATTAGTAGCACATTTCACGGCGCGTTTTACGCCTGTAGTGGTGACGGTTGCTCGCGGTTGCCGCGGCAGGGTACTACTTGAACCGCGCAGGACGCGATCACCTGCGTGTTTGGCGGCCGTCGTCGCCCTCGCACTTTGGCAGTCGGTTCAAGCGCAATGTGGTGCAGGCGCACGCGGGGTGAGTTCTCTATCTAACTGCGTGATTTGCGATTTACTCCCACTAACTTCGCGGTCCGTTCCGCAATCGCAACGGTTTCGAATCCGCAATCGCGGCAGCTACGTGCCCGCACAAACTTGCAGGGTCGTGAGTATTGAAATAAAACCGCTCTACAGCAGCACCAGCGGGCGCGGATGGAAACTGCTCCGTGAATTGTTAACCTTATTAACCTTAAACTGACGCTACTCAACTAGGGATGTGGTCCTACCTAATCGATAGTTAGAAACCATGTGGCTGTTTTTAATATTAAATAAATATTTCGTTTTTCATACTATACCTGTGTCACTGAGTCGATTTGTGTCGAGGCGACACAAACCGCGCCCCCGTACCAAATCTCCCCTTTTTTTCTATGTCTATGATATGATTCTTCCTTGCAACGCGATACAGACGAGCTTCGAACGCGTTTCTCGCGCGCGTCTGTATCGCGTTTTACGCACGTTTGAATCGATACAAACACAACAATTTTTGAGCCTCTATGGCGCCGCAAACGCGCGTCGTGAAATGCGGCGCGCATACGCATATAAAATACGCCGTGTGTGTAGGTTCTTACATTTGACAATTTAGACTTGGACTTTTTTGTAGGTAAGTAATATTATGTATACAGAACCATTTCAATCACAAGTTAATAATGATATGTTACGACATGGCTTCAGTGGGTGTACGTAACTTGGGTGCGCGTGTCATAATACATTCTATTTACGGCTGTTTGTTTGACCACGCTCCTTTTTTTGCGCGAGCGCAGCGGCGCGTCAGTGGAGTGGGGGCGGGCGTGCGCCTCGACGCGGGCGCTGCCACTCGGAAGAATGGGAAATGCATTACGTAAACACTTTCATTGTATTTTCGATATCACTTCAACGATACCAGCTATCGTATTATATAGAATCGGTATGCCATTTTCACGCTCCATGGACAGGGTAAATGTGCTTTTCATATATCTATTCGTTCTGTTTCAAATACAATTAAATTCTAATATTCTCAATCTACTGTCTCATGTCTGACGCATAGATATTTTATGTAGAAGAAAATAAATGTCTTTGACTTCCTTATTATTGTCGTGAACGGATTTTCCTAGTATTAGATTGTTGAAACGAAAGAAAATTATCTTTTTGCCAACGCTAACATGTCGCTAAATTAAATAAAATTTTGTAAACATTTCTATCACTAATAAAATTTCTCTCAATTAGACTTCAAAAAAGGAGGTTCTCAATTTGACTCATTTTTTTATTCGTATGTTACGTTTTTTCTCCGATACTTGTTAGCCGATTTCGATGATTCTTTTTTGTTGGAAAAGGAAGTACGTCAGCAGTGGTTCCATTCAAATTTGAAGAAAATGTTCTCCCTCTAAGGGGATGAATCCGGTTAGCTACATTTCACCCACTTTCCGTTAACCGATTTCAATAAAACTTGGTAAATAGGTGTAATTCCCATAAACGATGGAAAAAAAGTAATTCCACTTACTGTTGTTGTTGTTGTTCCTTTCTTTTTCCCTGCGGAAAGGCAAAGGCTTATAGACCGTGCAGCCTAGTCTTTTTTTATCCATTTCTATTCTATTCATTTTTGTTTTTTTTTTAAATAAAATAGTTATAATTTACTGCCAAAACTTGACCACTTATTTTAAATGCTTCCTCTACTTTTGCCTATCAGCGGTGTCCCTTTTAACGTTTCAGCTTAGCAATTTAAGTGCCTTTACAGATTCTGCTATTCAACAAACATTATGGGAGCAGAATTTGAGCGAATATGAACTATCCTATTCAATATTTAAGTCATATTGAAGTAGAAAAGCTATCTTTCAATAATAATCATTGACTTACAATTATATGGACGTCGGGTCCGCGCTAAAAAGTGTCCGAACTTACAGGGCGTTAAAATCGTATACAGAGCGTCATTCACGCTTTAGTCTTCGTTTGTTCGACTGACAGCGAGCAAAATTAGACAGTACTTCGATGACATTACAATTTAAATTCAACGTTTTAGCTTTTTCATATTCCTTTACATGTCACAACGTTTAAATAGGTTGACTTGGGACATTTTTTTGGTGGTTTTTGTATTAGACCCGTCGTCCATTTATTTGTAAGTCTATGATAATAATCCACAAATTAAAAGAATGCATAAAATTTCTTTGGTATACTATTAATTTTTGACAATGGAAGGTTTGTTTATGACGGCAAACATCTATGAATTATTCTTTGTGTATAGTGCTTAGAGGATGAAAAAAAATAAAGGTGTAGCGGAACCTTGGTGGAACGTGGAACCGTGGGACCTACACAAATAAATGAAATTGTCAAATATTTGACTATAATAGTAGAGATTTATTTATAAGTTGATTTGAATTCTTACGAAAGCTTGTACTCTCTCATGTATACGCCTACATTACTCATTGACTGGCATATAATTCTAAAATTCTGGAGAAATTCTAAAGGGGCACCGCCTATAAGTGGGTTGAAGAAGATTTGAATTTATAAAACCTGAACTCTGTGGATTTAGTTGGTGTTAGTACAAACATTCATGTTTGTGCCTTCAATCTGTGAAGTGAACTGAAGGTGTGTGAATTGAATGGCATACCATTATTACATATATGGCTACTACTCAAAACCCCCTGTTTCCTTATTTTTAAAATAATTTTACAAGTCAACAAGCCGGCGTTTTAAATATGAACTACTTATACAATTGAAAATGATTAACGAGAATGTGTTATAAAACACGTCGTGGTATTACGTAGTCACGCTGGAATATATTTGTTCATCCTGAGCGTTCAAACTGTATTTTATAGGACGATAATGTTGTCAAGAACAAACAGATCTTACTTTTCCGCTGACGAACTTCAAAACAAAATTAACCATCTCCGTGAATTGTACAAGCCAGTTAACTTGAATGAAGTATTTTACAATAGCAAAGTTAATGCCATCAATAGATTGAACTTTATATTGAGACATACGACTAGGAAGAATTTACAGGAGTCGGAATTCGAGAACTTACTTCTGTGTGCTCTTACGGCCGTATATTTCTTCGGTATGCGCCTGAGGATTAAAAGGCTAACCAGCAAGATCGGTCTTCACTGGTTCTCCAATAGAGACTTTCGTAAGGCAGAAGCTGCCTTCCAAAAAACTATGGACATGCTTCTACCGGAACGAAGCGAGAGCACAATACGGATCACTCTCAGATTTTTTAGTGACACCTCATTATGGCCATATGAGAGTTTCGTTACCCAAATACTGGACCTCGTACTGTATTTCGATAAAGCGAATATGAGATTATTCAATTTATTGTTAAGCGATATACATTACGTCCTTTTTTCGGATATCAAGTGTTCGCGGCACCGAATGAGGGTTTTGTATGAATTGCTCAACAGTAATAATTGGGTGATAGACAAAAGCAAGCTCCTGCCCTTCGTGACGCGGCTTCTAGATTTCTTTGCCCACAGTTCAGGCAAAATCGAGAGCAGGCTGACTGTTTATAAGTATTTACATAGGGGATTTGAGGTCTGTCTGCTGCGGATTTTTGAGAGAGCACAGAACAGTCACCGAATGATTATTATCACCACGATGCTCAACTGGTTCACTATGGTGCGTGTAAATGAAGACGACGTTCTCATGTTCTCTAGCCTGCTAGACCGAGCTGCGCAACTCTACAAAGTGGTTTCCTTCTCTGACAGCCTATCGGAGAGTCTCATTAATCACATTTTAATACATCTCGTCAGTTCCGATAATTCTTTCTATAGCCTCACAGGATTTCGTCTTTTGCAAAGACTTTTTGATCGACATTCCAATACAGATTACTTGGTAAATCCAATGATATATTACGAATTTTTGCGGGTTAGTTGTTTGGCTTGTGTTGTTTGAATGTTTGATTTTTTTTATTATGAGTACCGTAAGTGCGTTCGCGCACCGCATACGTTTCGTATTCGTTCCAAATCCGAGACTACACAAGTCTAGAACACTCGGAACCACTTCGGATGCCGCTTGTGCACTAAGTCCTAGTACACCTGTACTCTAGCAAAATTTGATGTAGAATAAAAGTAAACATATGATTTTTAGGGTTTTCAACTTAGACTCTTTCACAGTTACCACAATTTCAATATTTTCCCCCGAAATTCAACTAGATTATGGATAATACTAAATTTTGAAGTCTTGTTTATAATGAATATTATTGAACATACGTTTCAAATCACCTAAAAATTATTTTATTTTTTATTTTATTTATTAATGGTAAACTAGAAGTATATACATTTATATTTCTAAATTAAACAACGAAGTAAGCTAAATAAGTTTACACTTGTAGAAATAAAGTAACTTAAATAAGTAAGCACTCTAATAAAAAAAAAATCAACAGAAATAGAATTTTACAATATAACTTAATAAAAAGACTATCCTAAGAAATAAAAAAGACTTTCCTAAGAAATAAAAAAGAAGTCGCTGAGTAATTTTCTCGCTGTGACAATTTTGGTATTAAAGATATCAATATCTATTTTATTAACTATGTTATTGATGTTGTTGCAAGCTCGCAGCAGAAACGAATTTTTTCTGTAATTGGTTGAAGCTATAGGTATGTCAAATACTTTGTTAACCCTGAAATTACGTGTGGGAGTCAAAAAGTTGACTTTGTATAGTAATTCGGGACAATCAGTTATATTTTAGGAAATTTCTAGAATATATGCGCAATCGGCTATTTGACGACGCATGTAGAGGGGAAGAATGTGATGATTTTTACAAATGTGCAGGTAATCATTATTATGATATTGTCGCTTAGTTCGGAAACATAAAAAACGAATGAATCTTTTTTGAATACGTTCTATACGCGAAATGTACACCTCATATTGCGGGTTCCAGATCTGTGACGCATATTCCAGAATACTGCGAACAAACGTACAGTACAAGATTCTAACTGTCTTAATATCCCGAAACTCGCTAGACCGACGCATTACATAAAAATGACCAGTATTAATTACACTCCCGGACACGCAAGTCGAGCCACCTTGCATTTTCAGTATTAATTGACCTAAGCTTAAACAATGTTTGATTGACCGAAAACTACTAAGCTGTTTTGAAATTGGTATATTAAACGTCATTTCCTTGAGTCCTAGTTGATAATTTGAATTGAAAAAACTGGGAAAAACTGTTTTCTTCGGTGATAACAATATTTTTGTGTTCTGCCCTATAAGAATAAAAATGCAAGGTGGCTCGATTTATGTGTCCGGGAGTATATTTGTAAAACTGTGTCATCTCTAGTGACTTTTTGATTTAAGGTGAGAGACTGCAAACGTTCGAGTTTGGTGGTAATTCAAGTTCAGAATCGGAAATATGTAGATGCTGGATGATATAATAAGTGGTAAATTAATATCAAATAAAATTTTACAATTTTGTTTCTTATTAACCCAATTACCTACTTACCTATTTAAGTTCCAATTAAGGGCCGGCCGGGGGAAGAGAAAAAAATGTTATTTTCCTATTCCATCATTGGTTGCCTAGCAAGGTTTTCTTATTAAACATTCTACATCGAATTCGGCTAGAGTAGGTATAGAGATTAAAATGATCCCTGTGACATTTCGGACTCTCATTTCTTGAAATCGGAACTGATACGAATCGGATACGGATGCAGTGCGCAAGCGCTCTTACGAGTTTCAATAAGTGTAATCTGATTTTAATTCTTTTAGGGAAGCTTGATCGTAGGCAAATATGAAAACGGAGATAAATCGTTTTTACGACTTCACAGAGAACGGATACAAGTCCACTTTATGCGGGCATGTAAGAAGCATTGCCAGAACATAGTAGTTTTGAAGGCTTTGTACTGCGTAACTTGTATCCTTATATTGGAGGTGCCGTGTGGCTTGTCAGCGGCCATGGCGACTTATGTTGCCATGACGATACAGGCCTATGCCCTCAGTAGTCACGGTATGCCTGCAACAAGTCGCTATTGGATGCACTGTCTTGTCATATGCATTATGTCTTTGATATGCTGGGTTCACAAAGCACCTGTCTTGTACAATTACGTGAACCAAATAATTTTTCGACGAGCGAGAGACGCGCCGCATTTAAATCCACCGTTGATGCCTATTTACCACATTATAACTCACACTCCCACGTGGAATAAGCCGTGTCTATTTTTTGAGGACTGGGAGCTAAGATATGCGCTTTGGAAACATTTTCACGTTCGCACTGTAAGTAAATGCCTTTTCGAACGCCATAAGGCAGTCTTGGGCTTAATTTATTTTGCGACGGTGTGGAATGGGACGGAAGCGTCAATTTCGCCTCACTGGGCGAGTAGGCGCGCGCTGTCTCTGGAATGCTCGAGTTTTCGCGGTAGTGCTCGAGCATTTTCGAGCTTTCTCGCGACTGCGCCACTGCGCCTTGAGGCTGTAGTATTTCGTCGAAGTTTGATGTGACACTGCGCCTGCCTCCGCGCCACTTCACGCGGACCCGTTAAGTCGCCGACTGCAGCTGCGGAATTGCATGCGCGAGAATTCCGCGGAAGACTCGCGACCTGGTAGTTGGCTCGTATCTAGTTTGTACGTTACACAATTCACCATAACGTTCATTACTCTATGTACAATACCGTTACAAAAATTCGCTTCCATTCCGTTCCGCCGTAATATAAATTGAGCCTTAGACTTTACGAATGGCGCATTGTCTACGCGCACAATAATATTTCTGCTATATTTGTCGGTGGTTATTTATCACTCTCAGTATATGTCTTCAGAGAGTAACCATTGAGGAATCAAATCTGGCTTCTTGATATTTTAACCCGCGCCACTTACCATTCAATAATCTAAGAAAGCCAGAAAGTTCGCGAAAAGACTTTAAAAAATGTCCTCTAAGCAATGCTCTAAGCGGTTCACGTATTCGTAAGAATGGACTTAGTTTATGCACTTTTTAACGATATAAAAAAATGAGAAGGTTCCCAATTCCACTGTATTTTGTTTTGTGTATATCGCGCTTGAAGGCAAAATGGGATAAGCGACACTTTTGGGTCATATTGAGTTACATATACCATTGGAATCAGAAACATGAGCTGAAGCCATTGACTTACAATTATATGGACGTCGGGTCCGCGCTAAAAAG